CAGGAATTTGAGCCATTCCTTGCATTGTTGGTACATTAGGCGTTTGAGGACCAGGTAAGGTTTGACTCGCTGCAGGAACAGGCCCGCTGTTAGCTCCGGCAGGTACTTGAATGACACCTGAAGATTGGGACGATATAGCAGTATTGGAAACATGCGTTGGTATTGAGGTTCCTTGGATACCAGGTAAGGTAGATGATTGTGATCCTATTTGCGATGACAGACCAATTACGGCACCAGTGGGTACATGACTCCCCGAAGTTATTGGACCTGATGAAGGACCCATGTGTCCTTGAGGTATCGGAGGCAGCCTGATTTGAGTCAGAGGAGGAACCTGCTGTGGCATTCGAGACGAGGCGCCTTGTTGAGGTGATATATGTCTGCCTGCTGAAGTTTGTCCCGATGATATATGTACCGTCGAGCCTTGCTGAGATCCTATTTGATGATTGCTTGATGGTGGCTGAAGCTGTTGAATAGATGTCATTTGAGGCGGTATCTGCAAGAAAAAGTATTTTAAGACCGGTGGTTTTCACAATATATTATCTAAAGATTAAAGGTTACTAAGAAATTCATAGATGAATTTCATTGATGAATCTCTTGGTAACCTTTAATCTTTAGGTAATCATTGTGAAAATGGGCCAGACTCTTTTTTGATCAATAGAAAAGGCAAAGGCATTTAAAAGTTTACAGACTTACTATTCCTGGGCCTGATATAGACACGTGACTTATATTCTCCTGTCCTTGGATGGATGGATCCGGTGATTGTTGTTCCGGATTAGAAAGTGATGGCATCATATGCACTGGCAGAGTATTCATCGGTGGCATGTTATAACCTTGCATAGGATATTGATTCATAGCTGGTTGTCCATACATATAAATTCCTTGATTCGTAGGTGACATCGGATTGTAATTAGCTCCTGGATTCGGATAGTGTACGTGACGAACAGGCGATCCTTGAGAAGGTCCCATAAAATCTGGAATACCTTGATAACTTCCTGCAAAAAATAGAGATAAAATAAATAACTTTAACGAAGATAAAATAGGTTTAAAAATATGCAATTGTAAGTAACAAAATTGAAAATTACCCATTATATATTGTTGTTTCTGTTGCTCTTGACGCATTTGCATTTCTCTTTCTTGTTCTTGAATCTTTCGTAAAGCTAATTGGCGTTGATATTGTAAATATTCTTGCTTCTTCTTTCGCATGATTGCCAGTTTTTGTGCCATTAGCATCTGTCGCTGTCTCTCAGCTTCTTCCGCCCTTCTAC